GTGCTTAAATCCACAGAAACTAAGGGTGAAATCCTGGCTTTACTGAAGTCCGTAGGAGTCTTCCATTGACTTCGGTAGGGCCAAGATTTCACCCTATGCCACTTCACTGTGTGATTAAAATGGTCCTTTAGTTTTTCAGAAATACCGTATGCAATAAAATATTTCTGGGTGGTACATTCCATGTATTAATCACGCATATTTGCCTTGGATTGCACTTGAGATAACTAACTCATTTTACCTCTGTATTTGCAATATTTCAGGTATTTCCTAAAGTATAGGATATTAAAAAATGTTACTGCAGATACTGAGGAAACGTTATCAATGTATCGAAGATAAAATAGGCAGGTTCTTAAGGTAACTGTTGTTCAGAATAATGTGAACTTTTCATATATCAATTTGCCTCCATAATGTGATAACATACTAGAATTAGCATGTAGTATTTTTATGGGCATATAGTTAGCTCCTACATGTAAAATATTTGCTATAATAGTAATTTATGCCACACTCCCCAGTGTGAGGTGACCATATAAGGGAAGACTGTGGGGCTAAAGTCATAAACAGAATGTTGCAAAACATCTTTCTTTGCTTGGGTTAACTAGCATCAGACTCAATTTGCTTTTATTACAATGAAACAAATTATATGTGTGCACTACCTGCTCAAAATTGCTGTTCAGCCCTTTCCTTTTCTTTGGTAGAGCAATAAAAGCCATATTCTTCCTTGACTGTACTATCTGGAAAATGTTTGTTCTGGCCTATTTCCATAACACTGAATCAGGACCGAACTTTTCAGAAATGAATGATCATATGATGTAGCAGTAATATTCATGTGGGCAGGGTCGGTGCAACGAAGTTTCGCGCCCTAGGCGAAACTTCCACCTTGCACCCCCCCCCCCCCAGCCCTGCGGCAGCTCCCCACCCCAGCTCACCCCTGCTCCGTCTCCTCCCCGAGCACACCACCCCCGCTCTAATTCTCCTCCCCTCCCAGGCTTGCGGCACCAAACAGCTGATTGGCGCTGCAAGCCTGGGAAGCGGAAGAAGTGGAGTGGTGACCGCGCACTCGGGGAGGGGGCGTAGGAACGCTGTCAAAAAAAAAAATTGTGGGCACCGCTTTTTTTTGCCCCCAAATCTTGGCGCCCTAGGCAACCGCCTAGTTTGCCTAAATGGTAGCACCAGCCCTGCATGTGGGACAGACAGGGAATTCTAATGCAGGATTTGTTGTCTGCAACCTTAAGACTAATGCAAAACACAGACCCCTACCAGTGTTGTCATTTACATGTCTGCTGCAAATATCCCTGAACAGTATTAAATAACAGAGTAAGGATTGGGTTGGGGAGCATGGTCTTAGATTGCAGAGTAAAACAGTTTAATTTGCTGTTCCTGCTGATTACAATTTCTATATACAAACTAATAAGAGTCAGATTTTCTATTGAGACCTAGCCCATTTGTGCCCCTGAGGAATGTCAGACAGTCAATGGATCTGAACCACCCCCTAAATCCTGCCATGCCTCCTCCAGCAAGTGGGGGCACAGGTGGCATAAGCCAGCTACACCAACTTTGTTCCACCCAGGCCAGGGGAACTCATCAGCTGCCCCTTTAGGATAGCTTTCTGGCTGCTTTGATCTACCTCAGCAATGCAAAGCAACCAAAGGCAGCGCTGAGGATTTAACCCTAGATATGCAACCACTTGAGGGCTGGTTACACCTCTTTCCTTGTACTCTACAGAAATTGTGCCTGTGTGGGCAATATAAAGTCACAGTTGTCCTCACCACTTGGGATCTCTATTATATGTTCTGCAATTAGGCCCCGGTTTGGCCAGGTACTTAAGCATGTGCGTAACTTTCAGTGGGTAAGTAATCCCGTTAAACTCAATGGGACTACTCAAGGGCTTAAAGTTATGCACATACTTAAGTACTTTACTTTGGAGCCTTATTCCCCAGGAGAAGCTTTCCTTGATGTCAAGAGGAGTTCATCATGTGATACATGTGTGTAACATGCCATAGATGTCCCATAGTGCAGATAAGGGGTCAGAATTTTATTCAATATGTTGATCATTTTTAAAATAATTAGAAAGCATCCCCAGATAATGCAGTATGCAGGGTCCTTTATTTTGTGACTATCAGTTCGATCATTAGGATATACATAGATGAATCTTGGTACCACATTCAAAATTTAGGAGGAAAGATCAGAACTCCGTAAAATTTGCCACCTAGGTCAAATTAACATTGATTTTCCATGCCCACTTCTCTCCTCAGTTTAATCAAAATTCTGTTGCTGGAGCACAGTAACAACCTTCCATCGTGTTCAAACATTTCAGCTATTTAAGTCATAAATGTTTATGGACACCAGATCTCTGCTGGGCACAGGAGAGTTGTGTCAGGGAGCCAGTTACAATATCCTGATTCTCAGGCCAGCTCTAACTCCATTTCTGCTTAGATCTGTTGTGAGAGGGGTCTAAATTCCACCACTAGCTTTGGGCCCTTAATGAATCTTCTGCTACTGGAGTATAAATGCAGTGCACCCCTTCCCACATCTTAGAGGGGGACATTGGGTGTAGGGTATGGAGCCAGCACACCTAGGCCAGAAGGGAGTATCTGTAATGCAGGGCAATTCTCTGCTGGCTAAGTGCTGCCAGTTTTCATTTAACTCCAGGATTGAGGGAGTAGAAAGAAAGCTTAGATTCATATGTCCTCATCACCCCACAGCTGTACCAAGTGTAAACCATTGAGCCTATCCACTACTGAAACAATCTTCAGGGCTTTCTCTTCCTCTATTTAATCTCCAAATCAGTCAGAACAAGGACTTGAACCCAGGTCTCCTACATCCTAGGTGAGTTCTATAACCACAGAGCTATGATTACTTATACAAGTGGAATAGCTCCACCAGGCTCAATTGAGGAGAAAGACCACCCTAGAATAGCTGGAGCAAGAACTTGAACCTGTCTTCCACATCCCAGATAAGTACCCTCACTGCTTGGTGCTTGCTCTTGCTCTCGCTCTCTCTCCCCACTCCCAGCTAAGTCCCCCTGCCCTGTCGTGATCACATACCCAAGCTGAAATGTTTTGTTATCCACCCCCACCAATCACATGCTGAGAAGATTGGCAACATGCCTATTACTTTTCTGTTTTTGTTGTTTTTGACTATATTGAGTCTAGTGAGCTGGATTCTCCTCTCACTTATGCTGGTGTAAATCAGGTGAAACTCCAATGAAATCAGTGGAGTTAGACCGGTACAAAGTTGGCATAAATAAGAGTCTCAGGCCCCAATGTCTTCTGAACTTTGTCCTGAAAAGTGTGAATTGAATGCTAGGTGTACTTTTTTTGTATACTTCCCTAAAGAGACTAGCCGTTAATCTCTCTGTGCGTAGGTGTGTCTGCTGCAAACATTTCCTTCCAGTCTACCATTTCAATCACACTTCACAGTACGCTGAAAATTGGCAAGGATGTTAATTATTGGCCTCTAGAACAAACCACCTACTTTGATTCAAGCATGTTTTTTCCAATTTTTAAGTATGTTGTTTCACCGACAATACGGTATAATTATAGAAAATAGCTTGGTTTGGCTAACGTTCTTGTGTTCTGTGAGTTCTGTTTGCAGAGCTGTAAGCAGCACCAGGCTCAGGACTTAAACAGCTCACCTGGAGAGTAGTTTAACCTCTTAGTACCACGAGTTAGGGCTTGCCAGCTCCAAGTGCTAATGCAAAGTGCATTGCCGTTCAGGATCAGGAGCTCTAAATCAGTGTTACTGAGAGGTTAAGCATTAACACCCTTCACTTTCAAGGCTAAAAGAGACTGTGCATGTAGTAAAATAGTCTGTGCTTGTTATTCCCTTAACAGCTTATTATAATTTGTTTATATTATAGTAGCACCTAGAGGTCCAACTGATATCAGGGCCTCTCTCTGCTGGGCACTGTACATATAAATAGTAAAAGACAGTCCCTGCCCTGAAGAGCTACAGTCTAAATACACAAAAGAAAGGTGGATGAAAGGAAGTATTATTATCTCCATTTTTACAGATGGGAAATTGAGGCACAGAGGGATTGAGTTGCTCAAGGACATACAGTGAGTCTGGCAGACCTAGATCTACTGAGTCCCAATCCAATGCCTGAAGCATATCCTTCGACTCCATGTATGCACAGCTCATCTATCGTGTCTAGAATTCACTGAGACCTTTTTTTTGCAGCCTCAGGGAGTTGGTGGGTGCAAAGCCAGGGATGCTGACAGAATTCACACATGGTAATACACTAAGGAGTTGCACACACCCTTTTTGGTTTTATGTCCTTTGACTTCTGGTAATTGGTTGATCCGTAGTAGCTGTATAATGTTCAAAATAAGAAAAAATATATTGAATGGTAGGGAAGCCTACCTAGTGCTCAGACGTACATGTATGATAGAAATGCAATGCAAGCCCAGTCATAATTTGTAGTTAAAGCAGCTAATCATCCTGTGAGATATTAAATAAATGATATAAAACCTGAGTACTCTGGGGAGTCCTAAATCACTATTAGTACTAGATTTTTAAATATTCAAAGTGATTAAGCTATGGTGCTATATGAAACATACGTGCACTTATTTCTCCAGACCTCTTCTCAGACAATCACAGGAACTGGTCAATACCCTTACTTAGCACTCTAAAAACAGTATTTTAGTTCAAGATTTAGCATTCTGAATACCATGTAAATATATTTGTTGACAAACAGCTGGATAAAATTGAAGAAGGAATTAATATGGGAACTGGGAATATAGAAAAGCAGTAGGGAAATTTGTTTAGAACAATACTGACTGAAAGATGTCAATACTTACAAACAATTACAATAGTATACCAACTAACTAAGAATGTCTTAGTAATGAACAAATGGGTAGTATTACAGAGGACTACCATTTTCTGTATAATCAAACCTACAATAGAGCTGAAATTAACATTCATAAAGGATTGCTGTATTTTTTCATTGTGCTTAAAACAGCAAGTCTTCTCTTAAATAATTATCACCTATCTATTTGCAGGCAAAGTTGCTAGCTATACAACAAGAGAGAGAGACTGCTGTTCAACAGAATAAAAAACTAGAAGAAGAAATTCAGACGCTACGTGTTTATTACAGGTAAAATCATTTATATTATTGTATATGTGATGACTCATAGGGGAAATTTTCTGCAGAGCTTTATAACTGTAAGTGAGGAAATGGCCTTACTGCTTAGGTATTTGTTAGGAACATGTATAACTGCCTTGGGTTATACATGTTCCATGGGCCTTAAATTCCAAACAGTGTGAAGCTAGCAGATTTCTTTTCTAGATTTCCCACCTTTCTGATCTCCAAACCCTATTCCAAAATGCAAGGTGTCATCTCCTGCGATTGTTTGTTTTTTAACAATGACTCAGTGCCATGAAGTATCTTTTAATAAAGATGGTCGCATGGCTAATATGGTTTTGTTTCAATAGTCCTGCTCTTTATTGCTTTGGGGGGGGGGTTCTGTATAGTAATTCTCATTCAGTGTTCTTGATGAAATTCAAAAAGTTGTGACGCAGCAATGCATTCACCAAAAAACAGACAGACCCATAGGTGCTGGAACTAGGGATGCTGGGGGTGCTGCCGCACCGCATGGCTTGAAGTGGTTTCCGTCGTGGTTCAGTGGCTCTCGGCACCTCCACTATACAATTTGTTCCAGCACCCCTGGACGGAGACTATTTCTTTCTTGATTATCTGCACTTAACTAGCTTTAGCTGCATTAATTTAGGAAACACAAAATCTGTTAAATTCTAGAACTGTGTTTTCTTTTCTAGACTCCTATGTAATGCAGAATTTTTATTGCCTTATATTCTACATTAGTTAGTAGAGGGGACAGCCATTCTCTCATTAATTTCGGAGGCCTGTGAAAAACTTCTCCATGGATCACTGGATTTGTTTAGTCTCTAAGGGAACTGCTGTGTGGTCCAGTGAAGAAGTTAGGTTGTTTTATGGGGGAGCAGTTGTATTACTATTTCTCTTCATTCTGACCTCCTAGTTTATCAGCCTACAATACTGGCAACAGATTAGATGCAGAATTCTTGACATCAGTACAAGAAGAAAATCTGAAAGTTGAATGTATAGCTATTACAAGGGACATGGTATGTAGAAATAATACAGTGATACATGAATGCTGTGTTCATTTAAAACAGAAGGGGACTAGTTTGTTACAGATACAAAAAATAACTTGCAACTACACAGTATTTTTCTTGTCTTCTGTATTTCCACACAATGTTTCAGTTGAGATGGAGATTCCATTTGCAGGTTTCTAGTAGCCGTTAATGCTTCCCATGTTCCTTATGTTTATTAAAAACTTGGGGGAAGATTTTCAAAAGCAACTTGTATTCCTAAATCTCATCAGCATTTTTGAAAACCTTGCCTTTGGTTATTAGTCAATAGAAACTCCACGGAATCTGTTAGTATTTCTTTTAACTAATTTGTTTAGCAATTCCTTGATACACTATAGTAAACTAGAAATAATGCATTACAAAACAACATTAGTCACTTAGAAAGGACTTGGAAAATAGTAAAAAATAATTTGATTTACTTTTTTATCATGCCACTTCAAAAATTCAAGCTCAGCATTTGAGTTGGTCTCTAAGCATGAAGACTCAGAGTACACTTTTATTCTAACATTAAAAAGTTCCACTGCAGCAGACATTAAAGCAGACAATAGACTTAGTCTGTTGATGCAAATACTTAATTTCCAGTCACATGAATATTACCTACTTGCCAGCATTCATATCTGAATATACCACATAGTTAACTAAGTTCTGACCTTTAATTTCACTTTAGTGCTAATTTGATTATGGTATTTGATAATCTATGATGATTATGGTATGGTATCATTATAAACTGAATTAAAATATATATATATATATATTTCATATGAATTTATATATGAAATTATAAACTGAATTAAAATAATATCCTCTGACCTTCGAGTTTTCAGTACCAACTAGTAACTAGGTTATAGAGTCCTTTATAAGGTTAGAAATAGAGAACTTTTGACCAGTAAATGCCATTTTTCCCTTGATGTCTTAAGTGGTTGCTTTTTTCTAGCACATTTAGAATTCAGTCCTGTGTGTATACATACATGTCATCAAGAAAAGCTACAATGCAGCTTTTAATATTACCTCCATAACTTTTGTAGAAGTCAATATAATAATAAAGAATAAAAAGGGATTAAGTTTACTCCCAAAAGTTAAATTGAACATTTCTGCGGTTTCACCTCTGTTTATCATTGGGGAATAAATCGGCTTATAATAGCCGTGGATAGCCACTTGTACTAGTTTGGGCCTGAACAAATTCGCTGAGGAAGAGAATATAAAACTTAAAGGGGTCAGAGTCATGTTCAGTACATGATATTTTTTTTTTAATCACAAACTAGTAGCACTACATTCCAAGACTCAGCCAGTATAATAATGACATCCTCTTCTGTAATACAGAGTACGCCTAAGTCTCTTTGCTGATTTGTAGTGCTTCCTTATATTTCCTATTGTTGAGAAAAGAGGCAAACTGAAATAATCAAACACTAACCAAATCCTATTGTTTGCTGCCATCAGAACAAGATTTATTGTGTTAAGTAATAACAGTGATACTAGTAGTTCAGTGTTCTTTAAACCTTTTTTAGAGGGTGTGTCTAGTTTTCCCAGTGCACAGTGTGCTACCTTTAGTAGTAATCTCACATATGAAGTTTTCTGTTGACACGTTGGACACAAGTTCATTAGAGGGTGAAGAGAGGGTATGATATCTTCCCTTTTTGCTTCCCATATTTTAGTGGTAAAATGAGAGGTCTATATAAAAGAATGTACAAACTTGACACAACATGAAATTTCATTATTTTCACTAGCAAAAATAGTACAAGTGACAAACCCCTACTCTGTCCCACTTCCATTCATCATCCTCATCTCCTTTTTCCAACACCGAAGTTGGGTAGGGCCAAAGTTATGAGCAGATTCCGTCTGCATCTATTCTGAGCCACCATTTGAGCAAGTTGTGGAGGTTCCCTGGATGGTTTTATATTCTGTTATACCACTGTCTCCTTTGATGTCCACGGTCTCTCTCACCATGCTCTTTACTCCTGGGAAAATTCTCTGCCAAGAAATTAAAAATTCTGAACACAGTATTTTAAAATTCTGCATATTTTACCTGTCAAAATAACACCATATAATCATGCCAGTTTCAATTATTTTGGTAGTTTATTTCAAAATACCTGTCCTCAAGTATCTCTGTAACAGTACAGACAACAAAAAAAGATTCAGGAAATGTTTTTTGACAAATAGATTCCTTACTAGGCATATTAATACAGAACTTTTGAGTAATAATTCATTTAAACTACATCACAGAACTGTATTTCCCACACCCCTCAGAAGCAGTGCAAAGACTTGGGGGAGTCAGGGGTAACAGAGGAGCTGAGGGAGAGGGAAATAATTGCTGGGAAGGAGCCTGGACGTGAACCTGGAGGGTTGTTGGGTGTGAGTGGGAGAAGTATGGAACAGGTGTTTTTTGGGGGGGATTGTTAGGGAATTGGGGAGCCTCCCCCATGCAGATCCTGGCTGACCCCTAGCCTCTCCCATTCAGTCAAGCACATCTGCCCCTGTTCCTGTGTGTTCCTGCGCCACCACTCTCCATTCAGCCAGGGATATCTGCACATGTCCCCATGTGTTCCTGAACCCCTTCTCAGTCACCCCCATTCCCCCTGTCCCCATGTGGCCCTGCACCCTCCCACCCCCTGTCCCCATGTGGCCCTGCACCCCGACTCCCATTCAGCCCCTGGCTCAATGTTGTCATCCCACTAGTTACTGTGTCCCCACCCCAGTCTGTACCCTCACTAGCCCATCTGAACCCCAGTATGTGCAACCCCCCACCACCAGCCCTGTGTGCCCCGGTCTGTCCATCCCGCCCATATCCCATGCCTCCTCCCCTAGCCCTGCAGGCAGGACACTGTGAGGAAGGCAGCCTCTGCCCCCTACCTCTCTGCAGCTAGCTGCTCTGGCCTGTGAGCCAGCTTCCCTCTCTTCTGGCACCACATCAGCCCCTGGTGGGAGAAAGGTGTAATTTCAGTTTCCCTTTGCCTACCTGTCAGAATAAATTATTCTGTGTCGGGGGGGGGGAGGAATCTGTGGGGGACATTAATTCTGTGCTTGTGCAATGGTGCAGAATTCCCCCAGGAGTATCTCTTCCATAGAGATCAATTTTAGGCAATAGGTATGGGGTCATTCTAGCAACATAGCCAAACCATTGCAGTTGGCGGCTTTTGATGATTGTAGTCACACACTACACTTTGTCTTTTACGGATATTGTCATTTCTTAGTCTATCTAGCCTTGTCATGCCTAGAATATGGCATGGCACTTCATTTCAAATGTTTGCAGCTTTTGCTCCAGATGCTTTGTAGGCACCCATGTTTCACAACCATAAATTAATGTAATATATAATCTGGTTTTAGGTGTCATGGACACTGATTTGAAGTTCCAAACATTTTTATTCAAGCACACAAACATTCTGCTGCAATAACTTTCAACTTGATGATATCTTCGTCACACTGGCTGCCATGTGTTATGATGGAACCCAAATAAGCAGAAGCTGTCTACTTGTTCGACATCTACATCATAAATGACTAACTTAGCCTGTTTCTTGATTTTTGATATTTCTGTTATTCTTATCTTTTGTTCATCCAGTTTTAATCCCCATTGTTTGGCTGTTGTATACAGATTGTCCAATGCTTTTTGGTTGTATTCCTCTGTAGACATTATCATGATGATATTTTCTGTGAAGTCAAGATGATAGATAATTTGCCCCAATATCATGCAGCCTCCATCAATGTTACTTAGGGAGTTGGACAAGATGTTTCTAAATATAAAGCAAAACGTATTGAACTGCGTATGCATCCCTGTTTGACTCTGGTTTTCATTTCAAACCACTTAGTCAGCTCACTACTGATTCTCACTGCACGCCAAGCTATGCTATACACTACAGATTCTGCTGTATTTGAATCAGCCTGCTGCTAAAACCTTACCACTTGAGTACTTTCCACAGAACCTCTCAGTTAGTGGAGTTGACTGCTTACTTGCCAGATGAGAAAAGTACACGAAAA